CCATACCAGACCTATTATAATTGTATATTTATCAAAGGCAGAAAAAGTAATTGCATCTTTCTGACAGCTATCCACCTTGAATATTAGTCACCCTCAGAGAATTGTGCAAGACCAGTTTGTCTTAAAATGAATGAATCTTGTGAGGATTCCAGGTAGTTTGCAACTACTTCATAAATTCCACTCTGTGCTTTGCATGCACCTCACACACCGTCTTCTGCAAGAGGAAGAAGAAATTAAATGAACTCTTTCTTTCCCCCTCCCACACTGCCCACTTCTTTATTGGTGCATACTTTCAGTATGCAAGCATGCACGTCCAACACACATCTCCCTCTACATCTTTTACAGATAAAAATTACAAAGTTGTAACATCAATGGATATCTGAAATAATGCTGCACACAAAAATCACACACAGACAATCCGTTGTAGACAGTTTGCCAGAAATCAGGATGGAAGGGTTGCAACTAGGGTTGTACGAAACTTTGGCAGTGTTTGATTGTTTACGGAAAAGCTGCCATTTCAAAAGGCATGGAAAGGTCTGCAGTGAAAAACTCACCTTGCTTTATCTTTGTAACTTTTATGTGCTCATTTACAGCTATCATTTTCTCAACCTGTTGCTGCCTTGGTGCCTTTTTGTTGTGATGTTGTTAATTGGAAGGGACTTTACCCATGCTCTCACTCTCTCTCTTTTTTTAAAGAACACCTTATTCCTGTGATCAGATGTACTTACAGATTTTTAAACTGCCTTTAAAACAGTTCTATCTATCTCTCCCCCCCTTCCCCACCAAAGATTTCTGCTAGTGCAGAATCGTTGTGCAGTGAGACTTTCCTGCCTTTCTTCCTCCATGCCCCCCTCCCAAAATCAGCTCATGATGGGAGGAGAGTGGAGATTGTTCCTTTGGAGAAGCAGAAATGCTAAATTCATAGAGCAATCTCCTTAGTGCAATGATGGATGCAACTCAATGGGTGGACTACAGCATAGTAGAACTAAGTCTCTTGTTCCATCAGCACAAGGACAACGCACAATGTTCTTTCTCTCTCCTCTGCCTACACCTCCCAATCCGTTCTAGGGGTTTCCCCAGCATTTGGGAGCATATCAGGGGAGGAAGTGGGGTGCATGCAGGAGATGATGGAAAGTTCCACTGTATAAGTGGAAATCCTTGCCCTGATGGGACATAGGATTTGAATAATTCCCATTTTTAAAAAAGCCTGCTAATGCACATAAATACTGAGATTTTTTTCATGGTTCCAGACATTTTCCCGGCACATTCATGCTTTTTGAGGCAACCCCCAACCCAAATTGCCAATGTTACATCCACTGTAACAGGATCTTGGGAAAGGGGGCCCTCTAGGCAACTGCTGTGGAACTCATTCTGGTGGGTCTCACTCACTGAAAGGTTTAAGTCCTTGTAGAGCAGGTTTCCCCTGTAGGTGGGAAACATATTTAGCTGCACAGTCAAATCCTTATTAGGACTGACATTGCATGCCAAATTTGACAGGAAATTGACACCTGTCAAAACCCCTTGTGTGGTTTTGCAAGTCCTCCCCAATTCCTGCTCTGAAGTTTTAAAAGGGAGACTTGCAAAGGGCTTTAACTTTGAAGCAACCCCAATCTCCTTTAAATGGGAAGCTGTGTGGCTGCTTCAACCAGAGGGAGCGTAGGAGCTATCTTAAAGCCCTTTGTGAAAGCCCTATTCCCCTCCCAAAGCTACAATTCCCTGGGAAAATGGATAAATGGTTAAACCACTGTGGAAACTTTAACTTTGCGAAGAGTTTCCTGACAGGTCACAGCACCCTTAAGGTCATGCATTCTTGCTTTAAATATATTGTGCACTTGGGGGTATGTGTCAAGATGGAAGATGAAAGCCAGGAATTTTGCCTTAGGAGAGCAGCAAACATGTTGCCTGTCTGCATCAGGAATTGACCATGTCCCTCAAGTCCATTTCACACATAGGGGAGCGGGTGGCACTGTGGTCTAAACCACTGAGCCTCTTGGGCTTGCCAGTCAGAAGGTTGGCAGTTTGAATCTCCGCAACGGGGTGAGCTCCCGTTGCTTGGTCCCAGCTCCTGCCAACCTAGCAGTGCGAAAGCATGCCAGTTCAAGTGGATAAATAGGGATTGCTGTGGCAGGAAGGTAAGCGGTGATTCCATGAGCTCTGGTTTCCTTCATGGTGTTCCGTTGCAGCAGAAGTGGTTTAGTCATGCTGGCCACATGACCAGAAAGCTGTCTGTGGACAACTGCCGGCTCCCTCGACCTGAACGCTGTAATCCTATATCGCCTTAGACTGGACTTAACCATCCAGGGGTCCTTTACCTTTTTCTTACCTTTTATTTCATACTTCACACCCAGATCAAGGGCTCAAGCATGCCCAGTGATGAATCCCACAACAGGATTCTAGGCTGGTTCTTGAGCAAGTGCTGTTTCATGTAAGAAGTGCTCAATTCTGTTTACTTCCTTTGCCCAAAGGTTCACTACCCCTGATTCGCCTATTTTGAAATATTTATTTGAAGACATCTAGATGCTGAAGGTGGTGGAGGCTGACTTTTGTTTAAACCCTGCAGGAAGTTAATAAACACACTTCTGGCATCTTGAGCATAATTATAAAAAGATCAAAATTTACTGGCTACAAAATGCTCGACTCAATAACACAATGAAAAATAATTTTTGCTAAAGCCTGCAATGCTGGCAAATATTCCTGCAATAAATAACCCTGTGCAGTGGAGTTTGCTGAAGTCTCTTGCTGTGTTTCATTTAGAATGGTATACAATCTATAGTAATTGGCAGCTCATATTTGTATCTGGCATCCAGTCCTCAATCTCCTTTATTGTGCTATTGCTATTCTCCGCCTGTACTGCACAGCCTATCAAATGCATAATCTCTTTGCACAAAAAAGGTGGAGGGAGTCTTGCAAGACATGAGATCAGATACTGATGATGTTTTTTCTCCTTCTATATCCATGCAGATTTTTAAATATAATCTTGGTAGGCATGCATAAGAGGCAAAGCTCCATGTTTTTCACAGTAATCAGCAAAGAGATTGGTGGCAATGTATTAATTGTCTTTTGGTAAATATCTATCTAATCTATTGCTTTATGCTCAAATGGACTGAGGAGGGGTAGTACCTCTGGAGTGGGACATGTCTTGCTCCTTCTGGGGTAGTTTGCTCCACCTTTGCTCCCCACCCTGAGAGCACTCAGCTCTCACCTGTGGCTTGAAGCCGTCAGCATGCAATAGAGGCCACACCCTGGGAATGGCTTTGACTGGCTGGGTGTGACAGCTGAGGGCAGGCAATGTGTCTCACACCCTCAGTGAGTTAGGGACTTGCCCAGCATGTGAAGACAGGTTGCAGTGGATTGAGCGGATGAGGCCAATTGTGGGTACAAGGGTCAGGAAGGCGTTTTCCGCACATGCTGTAGAGAGAAGTAAGGGGCAAATGGGGCTCATCAACCTGGGAAGGTAGCCCATCTAGGAAAATAAAACCTCTGATCCTAATCCTCTGTTGTCTTGCAGGACACCTTCAGAAGAAGAAAAGGCTAAGGAGTAAACCCTAAAGTAAAAAGCTTTCTGCGGTTGTTCTGGGTTGTCAGTGCTCTTCCATAGATGGGCCTCTCTCTCCAGTAGCAGACTGGCACTTCTACTGGTTCCACAGGCCCCTCAGTTGGCTTTAGCATTTGTTTCCTATATATTTCCCTAACTTTCCCTTCCTCTGAAACAGAAAATTGCAACGTGTAATGTTGTGACATATTAAATAATGTGGGGCCTTCCCAGGGTGGAGCAGGCTGTGCACTGCTTTTGGCTCAGATGTTGACCTAAAGCACAATGCATCCTTTTGTGCCCAACTAGGATCTATTGGTTGCCATGTAATTCTCATATACGTTTGTAATTCCACATGCTGCCTACTCAATAAAGCTTAGCTCTAGGGGAGGTAGGGTATCTTGGCACTGGACTCTGAATATATTTAAACACTAGCAACTCACTGAGCTGGAAAATTGTAAATCTGCAATTTTATTTAAAAAAAGGTGGTCACCCTATTCTTTGGAGACAGGTTTGGAGACAGTAGGATAATTAATGGAGCCTCATGCAACACAGATGGGGGAAACTGCAAATTTCAATAACCCAGTAAAATGTGTTTTTGTGTGTGTGTGTTTTTGCTTTGAACAAACAGTATTATCCACATCAGCTTTGCTTATTTCTACGGAGAATAAAGGTTAGTTAGAAATGAACTTTGCATGCAGGTCTGGGAGATTTAAATTTAAAAATATGTCAATGCTGATTCTTGTTGGGTTGTTTTTTGTGGGTTTTTTTAACTCTATGGAAACTATGGACAATGAAAAGAAATCATTCTATAACCATTAGCTCCAAACCAAGAACATGTTTTGGCAAGTGTCTGGTAATACAATTTTGAAGTAATGCATTGCTGTTATTATCCTAATAATATTTACAAGAACACATTTGTGCCAGAGTTGCTGATAAAAGAATTAATCTCTATGGCTACCATATTTTAATGGACACATGATGGAAAGCTGGTCTGTGCAAAGGGGTTAAACTCATAAAGATGCAGCCCGAGAGTCAATGGAAACAGCAGATAAAGAAGACATAATATGCCAAACTCCTTGAACAGCAAACTATGTGTGCACTTTTGCTGATCCCAACCCACAAAACTGCTGTCTTTTTCTATGTGTTTCAGCACCAATCCTACTCAGCCAAAAGCAATTGTAACATAAAAGCCATCTCCTATGGGCCAAGGTCCTTTCGCTCACCCCAATAAAATATTTCTGGGTCCCCACAAAGTTGACGGGCATTGCCATTCAAATGCTATGTGATCAATTCTGTGGGGCGGGGTTTACCTCCCCCCCCCCCGCCGCCATATTTTATTCAAGTTGGCACCCTTGGATTGCAGCATAACCTCTTGAATTACGAAGTGTGGGAAGCAAAGTGCATTGGGAGGGATCTGGGAAAACCTTGTGTCTCCCCTGGCAACTGTGTGTATGCCTTTAGGAAGAGCCCTAGCTTAGTGGTAGAGCATCTGTTTTGCATGCAGGAGGTCCCAGGTTCCATCAGCAGGTAGAGTTAGGAGATAGAGGGAGGTGTGTCTGAAATCTTGGAGAGCAACAGCCAGTGAGTGTAAACGGTACTACGCGAGATGGACCATTGATCTGACAGAGTATAAGGCAGCTGCTTAGGTTCCGATCATCCTTAATCACAAGTGAAGCAATTTCAGAAGCTCCTGTTCCATGGCCAGGTGACCCCAGAAGAGACCATAAGACCATACGAAGAGCTTGGTGGGTCAGGCCTGTGACCCGTCTACACAACCCAACATCCTGTTCTCACGGTGACAAATCAGATGCCTATGAGAAACCCATGAGCAGGACTTGAGTGCAACAGCACTCCAACCTCCTGTGGTTTCCAGCAGCAGGTACTCAGAAGCATACAGCCTCTGGCAGGGGAGGGAGAACATAGCCCCCAGAACTAGTAGCCATTGATAACATTGTTTTTTCTTAAAGGAGGTTTCAAGATTTGCTTCCTTGCCAGAAAAAGTCTCTCTGAACTAAGATACCACTCACCTGTGGCTAGCATATGGTTGCCCCAGAACAGCGAGTTTGATTAACTTCCAAAGGTTCATAGGATGTTATGCACATTGTGGAGTCCACAGCAGACTCATGTGTTGCAGATCCCCAGTTTCCTGTCTTCTCATTTAAAAGGAGCTAATTCACACAAATTATACACACACACACACACACACACACATATATATATATTAAAAAACCAGGAAAAAATCCATCAAATTTCCCAGGTAAATGACTCACATTTTGCTACAAGGGTAGCTGGAGATCTTTTTTCTCAATAAGTCATAAAAGCTGATTCAACAATTTCATGTACATACTTTGCTGCCTTGACAAAATATACAGTTCTGTACTACATTAATAACCTCATAAAATATTACAAGTAGAAGAGAAAAGAAGGATGTGCTGTTTTTAAAAAGGATTCTTATGGGATTGGCTTTTGATTTTCTTTACTCTCTTGAAACTGAAAACAATTACGGTAAATCGGGTCTCATGCATAATGGGCAATTTTACACCTATTTCCATAGATTTAGTAACCTGTATTCTGCTACACAAGTCATTTGGGCACAGTGACCTATTAATAATCAATGGGTTGCATGTGTAAACTTGGATAATTAGCCACTTGTTTTCCTGCATCTACTTTTTCTCCCCGCTGAAACTGGCTGTCCTGTCATGCACTATATCTCTCCGAATGTTCCCTATGGTCCAGAATCTGGGCAGAAAACTGGAGAAACGGATTTGTGTGGTATGTTTCAATCTGTGATGATTTCGTCTGTTTAGAAGCCACTGCTGCTGCTTGGGAGATGTGGTGCATGAAACCAATTATTTAATCTCAGATCCCCCAAAAGGGTGGCTGTATTGGAAGGGTGAAAACCACCAAGTTGTCTGGAGTTAAAGTACATACATACATACATACATACATACATAAATAAATAAGAGTCTAGGGTGTGGTTCCTACCTCCTCAGGCTTCCTGACCCATTTCACATTCAAAGTTTGTATTTTAGCAGTTTTTCCAAGTTATTTGGTGAAGTTTTAAAGGCAAAATAGCCCTGTGATAGGCAAGAGAGCCAAGCTAAGGTGCAGTCTTGGATGGATTTAATCATTTCCCCCATGCCTGATTTTTTGTCCTGATCCCCTGGCCTACCTGGCAGACCATGTGCCAAGACAAAGTTCCAAGTCCAGAAGCCAATCCACACAAGCCAAGTCCAAAGACCAGGAAACGCAGTCTGGGGTCAGTCCAAGTAAGCCAAGATAGTAGTTCAGCAGCCAGTCTCGAAGTAGAAACCCATGAAGGTCCAAGGAGAATCCCAGGTCAGGTCCTTCAACATGGGCAGTTGAGCAGACACAGGACCTCAGCTCTGCTGCCTTCTTATACTGTATCTGATGATGGCAGCATCTGGGCTTGATGAGGCATGTGACCCTCACCTGCTCTCACCTTGCCCCAGCTGAGGAATCACATGCCTCCTTCCCCAACTGGCCAGCTAGTAAACTAGGCTGCAGGCCCTGGACTGCCTCTTCTTCCTGGACTGTGCCATCCGCTGCTCCCTACGCCTTAGGACCCACTGTGTTCATGGGGATGGAGGTCTCTCTGGCTCTGGTGAGGGTTCTCGCTGCTCGGCTTCCTGTGCACTAGCTCCCGCCCCATGAGTATTGTTGACAACCTTACTGTTGTAGACACCACAAGCATGGTGATATTTACACAAATTGGGTTAACTAAGCTTTGTTGATGATTCTTCTGGATACCAAAAACAATAACAAAGTAACAAGAAAATAATGTGCACTGTTAGCTTATGTATATGACTAATCAAGATCTTTCCCTCCTTTCACAAGCCAAGAAACAAATGCTTAAATGAGCTGATAATTGAACTGCAAATATAGCCATGTATGCAATATTTTGATTGCATATTTCTTTAGAATTTGTATATTCTTTATAGCTTATATACAGTACTTTGTAGCCCCGAGAGACTCTCAAAGCGAGATTCTAAAAATGAAGCTAGGATTATCCAAGCTTCTATCAGTGCCCTTCCCTGGCATCATACCATGAAGCATCTCCCACCCAAATTATTGGAGGCAAGGGCAGCTGGATCTCACTAAGCCCATGTTGGAAGCCAGTGGTCTTTCTGGCAGTTGACAAGGGTCTGTGCATGTGTGCAGTGGCGTAGCTTCAGTTGCTGGTGCCCAGGGCAGGTGCACCCAGCCCTTGCCACCAACACCACTGGAGCAACCCCACCTGCACCAGAGCAAAGTGGGGCCATGCTCAACCGCCTGCCCGCCCACACAGAGTGGAGCATCTGCATGGGGTCATCTGGTTTGCATCTCCACAAAATTGTGAATCTGGGGCCATGGCCCCCCTGGCACCCCAAACACTATGCCCCTGCTTGTGTGTTCAGGCTCCTCCAGGTGACCTATTTATGGACCATTCATCCTGATTTCCTTGCACCATGTTTATGTGGAAGTTAAATTATAGCCAGTCTTTACTGAGCATTCATTTCAGTTTGCTTAGGGGGGAATTATCTGACAACGAACATTTGTGTTGTATTTATCCTGATTTGTTTGTGCAGTGGCTGCACTTTTCCCCATTAACCATTCATTCACCCCACACTTCTCAGTGTATTTCCTTGCCATTTTCCTAACTGCAAAAAGTCAGTGTTCTTTTACAATGAATTACTTTTCCCACTATGGTGACAGAGCACTTTAATGACACAAGCCTAAAGGCCAGCCATGCTCTTGAATTCCTCCCACAAAATAATGACAGTCTGGAGGCAGAGAGTCCCCAATAAACAACCTTCGTTCCAGGTTTTACTCAACATTCCAGACACAAGCAACCCTCTCTCCAGTTCTGGAACGAAATCTTTCCAGCAGCTTTCCTTTGCTAATGGCCTTGTTGCTGCTGAGATAGATCCTTGCTCCAATCAAAAGGCGGCTCTTAACTGTAGGGGGATTTCCATCTGAGCACAAAAACAAGCTCCAGCGCATTCAATTTTAAAAAGTGGGGAGGGGAGAGGAATAATTATTTCTGAAGATCAGTTTTTTGCCAACAAATATACAGTAGCAATTAAAGAATTCAATTCTGAGGCAGAGCCACATGATCAACAAACTTTCCAGCTTAAATACAGCTTTCAGGGAGTTCAGTTGTTTTTTTACATGTACTTTGCTGGGGCTTCATGCGATTAGACAGGCACTAATTATGTCTCCTCTGTTGGAGAGGCGTGGAACAGTTCAATTCTACATCCTTGATGCCTGGCTGATAAAGTATAGGCTGCATCTGAGCTAATGAAAGCTGTTCTTAGTGCTGCTGATAACAAGAGCCAGAAAGGAAAATTCAATCAAAATGGTTTCCCATCACATTTGTGCTTCTCACAGTTTCCAACCTCATCAGGCTTCCAAAACAATAAAGGCAAACAAAAGAGGATTGGCTTTGATTTATTTGTACAAAGTATAGTTTCACAGTGGCTGTGCTTTGGCTTCCCCGTTCAGTGACAATCTGGGAAGCAGCAAGCCAGAAGGAGATCGAGGAGATAGTCCAGAAAACATGGGAAAGGGAGACAAAGAGCACCATGTGCCATTTTCTGCATGGTTCTTATGGATGGGGAAGACGTTTGATTTAGCTTGCATTTAAAGGCAAATCTACCTAATCCATGCTCTCCAAAAGCATACGTGGACCGAAAGAGAGCCAGCCTTTAAAATTTGCATTTCTCTAAATTTTTCGTGGTGCAGTTCTCCAGCCAATTACTGCGTACAAGAATGCATATTAAAAGTGTGCATAAATGCATATACTAGTTAAAATCAGATCCAAAAATGCATTATATTTGGGAGAACTGCTTAGCAAAAAATGTGTATATTAGGTCAGATCACATACACAAATATTAATATCAGGATATATTCTCACTAAAACACTGATGAATTTCGCCGAGGACTTTTTTTTAATAAACTGAAAAACTGAAAGAAACTGAAATCAAACCATTCATCCCTCCTGATGGATCATTGCTAAAGTTAATGCATTTGTGTTGGGGAACAAAACTTAGAGAATTGCACTTTTCAAAGGATAGCTATGTACAGGTTGGTGAAGTGCGAATTAGGTCATTTTGCACTGAAATGTGAAATGAATGACTTCCCACACCCTACCCGAAATTTCTTGTTCCGGCAAGCCTTTGTCTTGTGGGGCAAATATGGTTTTAGACATTGAACCCTGTTCTAGGGTTGTTTGTCTGCTGAGCCTGTTTCTGTGTTGTTTGGTTTTTATATTGTTTTATTATGGATTGTGCCATTTTGATTGTTGTAAACGTCTTTGAGTAATGTGGACGCAATAGAAGGGCGGAATATAAATCTCTGAATGAACAAATAAATAAGCAAGCAAGGACATGTGTCTGCACAAGGTCTGAAACAAAAAAGTGTTTCTATACTTAGTATACAGATACAGCAGGCAGATATTTGTCTTTGTGCAGGGCAGGATGGTATTGGGTGGTGGTGATGATGGGGGTCAGCTCTTCTACTGTCAGGGAAAAGTG